AAAAAAAACGGTGAATAGACAATGACAGAGTGGCTGCTCTTTCAACATTTTTGTATGGTGGCTTCCTGCCTCTCTGCACATTACATGGTCATTTGAGGTAAAGCAGCCACAAGCTGATGCAGGGAAAGCGGAGACATAATTGTACATTTTCATCACGAGTGCAGTGTGACGCTGGGGGTTTACTGTGTGCTTTAGTTATCTTTTTGGGTAAGCGTTCATTTTTTTGTCCTGTGTGGTTGAACTTTTTTTTTTTTTTTGGTTTCGGCTCGATCTGTTGGGTACGTAAGAAAAATAAACAACACGTCGAGAATGTCACTTATATGTACAATCCTGTAGAATGCAATCCAAATCCGTCTCTGTGGAAGGTAGTTGAGAAAAAACAAACAAACAAAAAAACAAAGACGCAGAGAAACAGATCAGAATCCAAGCATCTTTATTTCAAACTATTTCCACACTACATTTCATCACATTTAACTCGTGGTTTGATGGCAGCACAGAACACTTTTACAGCAAAATAAACCTGATGGCTACATTTTTAGGACGTCTGTCACCCATAAATCCACGCTGGGCGAGGGCTAGGCCTCTGTGGTGGAGCCTTTGGGTGCTTTATTTAGGCTCGTGCCCAGGCTGGGCCAGATGGACGAGGGGTGGTGCTGCTTCGTGTTCCCACAGATGTGCTCGGGCCTTCTGGATTCCCATTTTTTTTTTTCTTTTTCTCGTCGTTCCTTTTGGACGCTTTGTCCCGTGCTTCCCCGGCCAGCCTAACCAATGTGCAGACTACTGTACAACCACTACTTCCTGAACAGGTAGTCTGAACACTGGGCAGGCGGGCTGGGCGGCTGAAGTGATGCTGAGGAGAGGGTTTAAGCTCACCCAGGTTTTCACACAGGTTTACTCACTGCGGATCCAGCGCCAAGCTCTCGGGTCCTCCCGCTCTCACAGTCTGACTAGAACTACTAAAAAGTGCTGACCAGGCTGAAGATGGAGCGAGCTGAAGGAGAAAGACGGCATGTTAGGGGATGGATGAAGTGGGGGCAGGCTGGGAGGTAGAGGAAGAGGAGGAGGAGGAGGAGGAGGAGGAGGAGGAGGAGAGGTTAGACAGAGGTGATAGCCACTGATTGGCAGATTCAATGACATTCCCTCCTGTTTCCCGCTGTGAGAAGCAACATTCCACACCGGGCTCTACGGGGGGAAACACAAGTCGTAGGGAGGCTTTTTAGATTCACCGAATGTCAGAAGCAAAACACTGTGAGGAGGGATTTCAATTTCTATCATTCAGCTGTTTTTAAAAAAAAATTTCTTCAAGAAAAATGTGAAATGGAGGCAACATACACAGATAATGACGATGAATCATCCTCAATTTAGCCCAAATTCGTACAACCGAATCTCTGAAACTGAACCCCGAAGCCAACTTAATAAAAGTCAGAGTATTTCGTAAGAGCTTTCAGAGTCAGAAGCACCAACGAGCCAACTCTCCGAGCGCTCCTCATCGCTCTCGGTTAGAAACTTATCAGGGAATATTTGTGGTCAGCTGAGATCACGCTGAGTCCGACCCAACACTTCCCATTAAGACACCGGAATAACTTTCGCCTCCTCGACACACATGCCAAACAAAAGTAACGTTTCTCCTCTTGGAGGGAATACCTGCGACTTCTCGAGTGATGTTTCTTCTTCTTCTTCTTCTTCTTGGCCGATGTTTGCCTTCTTCCCTCAGAATCTCCTCGTTCTTTCATTCAACGCCGCTGAGGAGGCAAAACCTGGTTGGTGCTGTTCATATTCTACTTCCTAGAGCCAAAAATTAAAAATAAATAAAAAAAAGAAGAAGAAGAAGCGCTCCGGGTATGAGCAAGGTGGACCGGCTGGAGGTTCGACGTGGCAAAAGACTGGCCACCAAGTTTCCCCTTCGAGAGACAGAAGGAGAAAAGGAGCGAGAGAGAGAGGAGATATGGAGGGAGAAAGAGGAGGAGCTCGCCGGCCCCCCATTTTTCCTTTCTCCTCTCTTCTTTCTCTCTCTCTCCTCCCTCTGTCTGGCTCCCCCTCCCTCCTTCCCTCCTTCCCTCCTTCCCTCTCCTCCTCCCCTCTTTTCCTCTCTGTCTTTCTTCTCCGACTTATGAGGAGAAAGTGTAAGGGGTCAAAGGTGAACAGGAAGTGAGACGCATTCATTCGGCGTTGTAAAGTTTGGAAACGGGAGTGAGTGATTGGCTGCGGAGGGAGGGAGCTTTTTTAGTAGAAGCGTATGTGGGCCGATAGGGAGGACGTCTGTGTTTGCGCTCTCACGTGGAGGCATATATATGTGTGTGTTTCGTAAAAAAAAGCTTCTGCATGTTCCTTCTCTTCCCCTTTTCCGCCGCGTGCGTGCATCTCCTGCGTTTCGGCACATGTGAGCGTATGTGCGGTTCTTCTGGACGTTTTGAGTGATGGATGTGTGTGTAGGAGTGGGGCTGGATGAGAGCAGAGGCTCCACGGTCTTTGTAGCGAGGGCAGGAATGTCGGCGTTTTCTTGGCAAGCAGGAGGAAGCCTTGTAATAACTCCAGATGTGCAGCCCTGTGGTCTCCATCTCGCTCTTGCTCCCTCTGTTTTTACTTCTAAAGCTGATTTCCTCTCCCTGTCCGACTCGAATAAAGAGCCCTTTATGCAGCTCTGCAGCAACACACACACACACACCGAGTGGTGGCGGAGGTTTGAGGGGTGGGTGGAGGAGTGGGCACTGGTTGGAGGGGTGACATACTACTGGTAAATCAGAACCAGAGACGATGTGTGTGTGTGGAGGAAAAAGTCTGTGTGATTTCACAGTTGAGACGTGAGTCTTCAAAGTTCGCCTCCTTCACCTTCTTCGCTTCACACACACTTTGAGGCTTCGTTCTGACTCCTGGCAGACAGGAGCAATCAGCGCTAGTGTTTCCAGGTGTATACGTGTGTGCGTCGAGGCCCGAGTGTTTGTTTTAGCTATGGTTTCCGAGCTCCAAATCAAAGCAGGGACGATCCCCAGGAGAGACGAGTCAGCAGTGGCGCTGGAGATGGAGGGCCGCGGAGGAAAAATGAAAAAAAAATACAGTGAAAAATGGGAGGCAGAACGATGCCCAGCCAGCGGAGAGCCTCGACGATAAAATGTAGAAACCAGCTAGAAAAGACGGACATCAATCCGTGCAGGAGATAAAGTGGAATTATTGTTGCAGTTGAGTTTCAGGGTTTGGGGATTGGAAAGAGTGAATTTTAATGGGTGGGTGGGGGGAGTGCTGCGGTTGCACCAACATTGTTTCCACTGTTTGGATGACCAGGCAGGCAGCTTCCTTTATAAACTCTTAGTCAGTAAAGCCAGAAATACTGAGAAAGTATGCACACACACATCCAGTGCGATTCTGTGTGTTATCCTGCCTCGCCGTGAAATACGACTCGTTAATACGGCCTCGAGTTTCTCGCTTTGTTTTTCTTGTCTGCGTGTTTAGATGTTGCATTAAAGCGAACAACTCCAGTCAGCTCACGCGGGCGAAACCGTATCTTTCATGTGTTTGCAACAGCGCGGGGAGGATATGATTTTGAGCGTCGTGCTGTAGATTTATTCGAGGCGCTCCAGCCAAACCCAGAGAGGCAGCCCTTGGAATATGATTGGCCGTATTTCACACCGAGTGTCATCGGTCAGCTGGTGTTCCAGTGAAATCTCACGGCAAGCTTTCAGACTGCAGATTGTGTGTCAGTCGTTCTTCCTGTTGGATAACGTAAATGTGAACCACATAATAGCTCGCTTTTATTATCTTTCTCTGTTGCAATACCGTGTTATTAGTAGTACTTATTTGTTGGAAGGAGACACCAAGGAGATCACAAAGTAGAGGCCTGAGTGAAGGCTAAAAGGTCAGGAAGCATTTTTTTTTTTTGGAAAATATGCTTTCTGTCGAAGAGTTAGATGAGAAAATCAGTACCGCTTTTTATATTTGTCAGCTCGATGTGATGTCGCTGCCAACAGCTGGTTAGCTCAGCTTAGACGGGAAACAGAGAAATGGCTTGTCTGGCTCCGACCAAAATCCACTTACACTCGCTGATTAATGTGCTATTTCTTCTGTGTTTAATGTGTAGAGAAACCAGAGTGTGAAAATAATAATTCACTGTTTTATGAAGATGTTTATTTGTATTTTCAACCTCTGCATGTCTCTCTGCCCCCAAGGAGGCAAAACATTTTCCAAAATGTCAAATTTTTGGTTGAAGATGCACTCAAGAAACTCAATTTCCATATTAGATTTTTTATACTGTATATTTTGGAATAATTCACATTTAAGCATCGTCTATATGATATTCGTTATATTTTAGAGTCTGCAAAGAGAGCCACAGTGTGCCGACATGTCTTAAGTGGGAACATCAACATAGAATAGAATAGAATAGAATAGAATAGAATAGAATAGAACAGTTCTTTATTGTCACTGTGGAAGCGATGCTTAAAAGGCAGTGTTACAGCAGTGAAATGTTGTAGCATCCTTCTGTGGCAGCAATACACAAGTAATAAAATAAGATCAAATAAGATAAAATAACATGAAAGGAAAGATAAATATATATATAGTATAAAATGTAAAATATTAAAGCAAAGGAGGTATTGACAGTACACACTACAGTATTTACAGCAGACAGTATTTACAACATTGTAATTTTATTTGAAAGATTACATGTTTATAGATAGAAAACAGTAGAAAAATAGCAAAAAAATTCAAAGAATTGCACGATTAGTGTCTGATTGAGGCGTAAAATCTACCGAAATTCATGAAAGGCAGCGAAACAGAATGAATGCAGCAAATATGTGAGAACTTTTAGCAAAAAAAACCAAAGAAAGTGAAAGGTTTAATGGGCATTAAGATGGTAAAATGGTGCCAAACCCCAAAATGAATAAATTACTGAGTCTCATTGTAAAAGAAAATAGTCGAAAAGTGGGTGAGAGATTGTAAAATAGAAATGAGATGAGTGATGGCGGCGGCCTGTTGGAGTGAGCTGACGAGCCGAAATCGGGATAATTCAACGTTTATTTTGCCTGACTGATGAGATGATGAATAGTTTGTGCTGTTCTTGCTGTAAATTATCATTTTTTCATTAGCTGTTCCCCTCTTATCCAGAGCATACTGTAAATACGGAAGTCATTACGGAAGCATGTTGTGAGAGGAGAGGCAGAAAGATTGAGAGAAAACGCAGGGATGACCAAGAATCAGTCGCATCCAGTTAATCATCATCTGATTGATTACAATAAATTCAAAAATCATCGCTTAGACTATTATTATTGATCTAAACGCGTAAGGCAACAGAAAAGATTCGTATTACCACAAATAAATCAAGAAATGTGAGAATATAATTTTCAAAAAACACACAAAATAGCTGCAACTGTGTGTATTCATCATGTTGTGAGGACATAAATCTTCTCCAGCAGTGTTTGAGGACAAAAAGCAAGCGCCCATAATGTAAATCATTAATAAATGCATCGATTTTTAGCTTGAAGATGAGGTTTAAGGTTTGGTTTGGGTTAAATTAAGGTTAAAGTTAGGGTTGGGAAAAGTAGTAGTTACAGTCGGGGTTTGGTGAAGTTTCCAAGAAATGAGCATAAATCAGTGTAATGTCCTCTGAAGTGATGGAAAGACAACTGTGTGTGGCAGTGTTGTAGCTTTATTGTGTATATGTGAGGCTCTGGAGGCTCACTGCTTCGTTTAAATATGACTGCATGTGTTTAATAAGACGTGACATTACTTTCTTCACATTGGTTGCTTTACAGATTTTATATAATTTATTCTCATGCTGCAAATATTTATATTTATGGCTATTTGATAGCATTCTTACATTTTATGATTTTTTTTTTTTAAATAGTTTCTCCTAATGACTGCCTTTTCCATGATTTCATGAATGAAATACTACTGAATCCTTAAACTTGACATAAGCGAGAGATTTTTATGCTCGTAAATATAGTTTTACAAGCCTGGAGTTACTGTAAATGCGTAAGTTTAGAAAAAAAACTAAAAAACAACCCTTTCCACACTTGGAACTGCCCATCGTTGGCAAAATCTTAAAAATACACTCAGGCCAGACACACCCTCTGTCTAGTATTCAAAACAAGTGGGTTGCAAAGTGCAAATTTTACATCCTGGCTGTTCATTTTCCTTTAAAAAAAGACAAAGCCTATGCTAGCAGTTCATTTAGGTCTCGCTGCATTTGGAACATGCAGACAACTGTTATGTGTCAATACTACTGGACCGAGTTCACATTGGATGACTAAAGTTACCAAGGATTAAAAAAACTGACTGTATAAATAAATGAATTATGCAAACAGCTTCTCAATTTTGGGATCGTCCCATTTTTTTTTTCCCATCATTTTGCTTCAGGAAAAATACATGTTAGCACTCGAATAGTCGTTTACTCTTGCAAAACCAAAAAAATGCACATGAAAACCACATGTGGCTTTAAAGAATGTTTACATTTTACACTCAGGTTGGTTTACACATGCGAACGTTTTACCTCGATGCATTCTGACATCAGAGGGACACACTGCTGCATATCTTTTGCTGCTTCCAGTCCATCTGATAGGATTCACATGTTGAAACTAGGAGATATTTTCACAAATTTAACACCAACCCTGTAATATATATATATATATATATATATATGTGCATGAATTCACAACTGTAAGGTTATGTGTAGTTAAATATTCCTCGGGTTTCATGCCCCCCGTTCAGCAGTGATTCTCTTCTACTGGGAGCCCAACACACCGCTTGAACATTTGCCTTCCATCAGACCAGAGCCGCTAGACGTGTGGGGATTTTCACATGTGTTTATACGGTTAGTCGGCTGGGTCCCCCCCCCCATCCCGCCTCCTTTCTTTACTCTTTGGTGGTCACTGGTGATTGATCACATGTCCTGGCGAGCCCCAAGGTTGTTACACCGACCCTC